AAAATTTCTCTGTTTATGATTTCCTAGGTAAGTGCCTTAAAACACCTCACGAGGTCATTATAATATACATAAATGCAGTCTTCCGACGGCTAAAAATAGGCAAGCATCGTTAATGGCAGTGTTAAATATTAACTTTTCCTGATAATGCAAAATGAAAAATTCCTCCTTTAATCCCACGCTCTTTTAACAAAGTCAGTCTATTGCACAGGTATTAGAATGGCTCTTGTTGCAGATGTGCTGTGCAGGAAACATCCACTTGTGCAAAGCACACCTTTGGAAATTACACGAGTCTAAAGCAACTCTTTCAATCACTAGAACCAAAATTCAGTTTTCCTTGGAATTCATCACGGAAAAACACTTGCAGTTCGCTTGCAGTACAGAACAATGCACAAACACCTCAAACGAAACCTTTCTTCAGCGCTTCAAGATTTGTTCCGTTTCGAAAATATATTTATCATGACAATAGATTCTTTTGTTTGCAAAAAAAAAACTATCTACCACTAAGTATGTTTAGAACTTGCACCAATAAGTATGAAACGAACTCTGACAATCTATAAGAGGAATATTTTTAGCAAATTTGCTAATCTTTCTATTTTTTAAAAGTATATCAAGGGTTTTATATTGAAGGTTGAATCCGAAGAAAGTAAACCATCGTCGACTGGAGAGAATTTCAATTCAACGATATCTGTCCAAAGGAACGCAAAGAACTTCAAAATGGTCAATGCTCTAAAGCTGGTAAGATATTTCATTTTGTCTTGTTTCACTGGACTACGTTTTGTCCCCTTCCTAAGAAATAATTTTGTCACCGAGTGTTTCTTACTTAAGTGCTTACCTGAGTCGTGTTTTAATCAATGAGGGTTTATTAGCCAGACGTTTGGCAGACTTTTGTAGGGCTGTTGTGTTCTTGAATCAAATTCGAGGACTGACTAGTGACCGAGGTAGGGGATACGTGTGTTACCATCATAAAGCAAAATCGTCATTGCGAACTTTAATGTTAACACACCAACTTAATGGCGAAAAAGCCCTCCAGCTTATAGCGTTCAAAATTAGTTAAAAGAACATTAGAGAGTGAGTCAGACGGTACTTAAACTGAACTAGGTACAATTACATGTCAGCCAATTTTAGCTAAAACTTTTACCCAATTTTGTTTCCTCGCTGATTTGCTTTAGGTCGCCGATATTTTTACGCTCACTGGGTGCTTGGTGTTATTGTTTGGTTCCATTGGATATGTTGGCGCCAGACCTCAAAGCCCTAAGCCATCTTCTGTCACCTGCAGTACCATAACGGCAGAAATCGAAGCACAACAACAGTTTAATGTGACATGCAAGCCATGTACAGAAAGCGTCAGAACTGTCACTGTCTGTGGCATACCCTTTGTTTATCATGTTTGCAAGAAAACGCCGAAATGTGAACCGGAGCCGTACGCATTCGATTTTTCAAAGTGCGCGGGAAAGAATTTACGCTGCCTTTTTGCTACCGGTTGTAAAAGTGTATAAGTAGATGAATTTTTAAATGAATGTGAAGATGGCAGAATGACAACTATTGTAAGAAGCCAATGACGGCACAAATGAAAAATATTTATTAGAAACTAGGTTAAACATGTAAATCTGCACCAGATTACCTAGCAAGAAATAAATAATATACTATTCTGTAAGTGTATTTTTTTTCTTGGTATTTTCCTTCTTCTAGCTTCCTATTAAATTTTTATTAATAATATGAAGGAAGGAACACGGGGGTCTTATTTTTTGACTTACGATTGCCCATACTCCATCAGATTAAGTTAGGATTCCACTGTCCAAGTGTTATAAGAATTTTAAGCTTCATTTTTATAACTGATTGGCAAAAAACAAGAGGGCGAACATATAAAGTATAGTATAATTCGCGATGATTATCAATTAACAACGATTGTAAGGCCGCCAGTGACAACAATGAAGTCTGTACTAGAGCAGGTGTCTACAAAATGTCTTATAAATTATATAACAGTCCAGCAGCGCTTTTACAGTGCTATACTGATACAACCATTAAATCTATCCTGATCCTTGTTTCTTCCTAATATGAAAGAATTCCCTCTGGATCTAAAACAAAGGACAAACTCATCTAGATCTCTTTTTGACTACGAAGTCAGTTAAAGTTTGGTTTGTGAATAAAATTGCTAATTCATCACAGAATCCTAATTATACCAGGGTGGCGCAGTTAATCGCCAATATAGATTATATTCAAACGAGGTGAGGGATATACATATATATATGAAAAAAATCTAACTGAAAAAACCCGATGTTTTCTAATGAGAGACCTTTCCTATTTCTTATCAATTTCGTACGAGTTTGTGTTGTGTTATCACTTTCGCTTCATACTCGCATACCCAGGGACGGTTAGTCAGGATAGGTCACAATAAGCAGTAAACTTGATTGTTATAAGACGGTTACAAAATCCTTTGGAATTCTGATCTCTCATTGGGCTCAACATTCGCAATATTATCAATACATGGATCTTGATCATTTTTGAAATTTGTGCTCGTTACGTATTGATGTGTATCCCCTAAATTTTTCTTGTCACCCGTAACAAGTGTGGGAAGTCGATGACGATCGTATGATTACGAAACATAAACTATATTTTTTCCTTGGTCCGGCAATGGCCTTAGTTTCCCTGTTTAATTTTGGCATTTGGACTGCTTTCTTTCAGTTGCCGAGCTAGCAAACTGGTGACGTCACTTCCTCGTTCATGCTAAAAGAAAATAATCAGATCCAAA